GTATATATATATATATATATATATATATATATATAATAACTTACGTGGGAGGGGGGAGGAGGGGTACGGTATTATGCGCACCTGCACCCCCCTTAAATTCGGGCACTTTGCTACGCTTGGAAATGGATCGAGAGTTTTACGGTGGATATAGAATTGTTGGATGGCGTTTTCCTATGGAAATACTGAAGGGAGGAAGGAAGGTTTTGTCGGGACTGCCTGTATGTATGTACAGTACAGTACGTATGTATATTAAGCGCTGGGGAAAGTTTAATGTACGAGCACTGTCTGTCCCTGCGAATACTAGACTTACTGTTGGTCCCTGTGCAGTAATATAACGTACTCCACGAGTAAAGCGCTGTACTTAGTATAGTGCCCCTGGGAACGGGAGAGGACGGGTTATGCCTTGCGGTGTGCGTTACCGGGGATGAGAGTGCGTCCGTTAGGTTCGTTCGGTGGCTATCGTGAGGCGGAGGGGGTATAGTGGAGAAGCGGAGTCAGACGGGTGCGAATTATCAGGAGGTTCCAACGGGGCGACGTGCTCCATCGTATCACTTGTGCCAATACCGCGCCAGCGCCGCAGCAGCCAAGTCTAGCGGGTGCAAAAGTAAGACAACCGCGTACCGGGTTTTCAGGCTGCCTGTCAGGTTAACCGCCAGCACTCCCCTCGTGGCTTATGATAATGCCTACCATGTATGGTACTTGTACCGTACCGTACGAGTGCGAGTACTGCGGTACGGTAGCTGGGTGCAAGTATGATACTGCCTCTGCGGTAGTGAAAAAGTTCCCCAGAACGGCATCTTTGCATGGTCGTTGGACCGCGGTAGAGTGCAGTGCTATGCTATACTAACTCATGCTAGTATCCTGCACCCCCCTAATCCATTGCTCCCGTCACCATCACGAGCACGATAATTCCCACCTGGCTCCCTCCTCCACCCCTATTCCTCCTTTCTCCGTCTCATCCTCCTCCCCTCGTGACGAGACCTGCACCTGCACTCTCCCCCTTCCTTCCCTCCCCGGTCCATTTCGTCATACTGGTACAGTGCTGTAGTGCAATCATTCTCCACCACCACCCAAGCCTCTCTCACGAAAGAAGAAAAAAGGAAAAAAAATATCAAGGGGAAAACGTTACCAGTACCGGTACTGTACCGTACAAGTACCCCTCCCACATTTTTCTTACAAACCCTTCACATGCGCAGTCAACGGATACGGTATTCCGTACGTACTTTTGTGTGGTCGGGACCGGGGGCCTACATACAAGTGCACCGCTAGACCAGTCCAGGGCCGTAGACCACTGTAACTTTACCGTGAATCCGCTGGAAAACCTCCCAGCCGCCGAAGCGTTTGCGGCCAGGTGGGAAGGATGGAGAAAAGGGGGGGGAAAGGGGACTCACCGCGGGGATAGACTATCAGTTATGGTGTTAAAAATCCCTATAGCCACGGAGCGGAGCGGAACCAGTGAGCGTGCATACGGTAGCAAAGAAAGAAAAACAGAATGCAAGATCCGACGAGTACGTTATCGCATCGTAAATATCACACCCACGATACACCGCTACCCATACTGTACTCGAGTACTGTACTGTATGCACCCCCGAGAATCGACACTCGACGACTTGCCATCGGCAAATGAAAACCTTTCACTTACCGAGCTTACACAGCGCGTGCGTGCTGCACGAGTTCATTACCGTACCCACTGTACCGTACTGTACAGCGCTGCACCCGTTCCCCACCGAGAAATCTGTGATACGGTACATTCCTGAACGCCACGATGCGATCCGATAGATATTAGCCGCAGCAGCATCAGTGCTCGAGCACGGTAGGGAAGCGCGCGCTCCTTCTTTTTTCCCCCTGTCCCGCGTGGGGCGAGCGAGCAAGCAAGAAAGTGCGGTGCGAGTACTCGTAAATGATGAAGGGCAGCCCCGACCGCCGCGACTCAAATTACCGGCATGGCGGCGCGCCCTACTGTACTGTCGCTGTGGGCACACGTGCGGTGGTCGGATTTCGCAGACAACCGACTATTGCATCATCATCATCGCCAACCCGACTGTTACGATACCCCATCTCTCGAGCGACAGCATCTCACTCGTGGATCTTCTTGTGGAAAGGAAGGAAAGGGGGAATACCGGTCGTCATGGGATAATTATTACGTAGTATCACACCTGTACTGTACTGTATTGATCGGTTGGTTTACAGTGCAAGCTGCTTTTCGAGGAAGGCACGACAGGCAGGTTCACCAGCTACAGGGCAAGTCGCAGGAAGCGGAGGGGAGTCGTCCCTGGAGGCACCCCTCTCTTCTCTACGGTGTATGCAAAAATAGCACACCGCACCCGTAGAAATGGTACCGTACTGGACGGATGGGTAGATGAATGGCGAATTATGATGGTTGATGGGATCATATTACCAGTGTCACTCCCACCACCACCACCACCCCAAGTCAAGCCATGAGTCAGCAGCTGAGGGTGAGGAAAAACTTGATAGCAGAGTATGGATGGAGGGATGGGATGAGGACACGGTGGCTCGGATAGTCTACCGACGACGCCGTTGAGTGGAAACTGGGTCTGTTCGTGTGTCCTGCGGCCTTTTTCCGTTCCTGCTTCGCCTCCCTTCGAATGGTTGAATGAGAGGGGGAGCTTATTTCGCCCTCCTCACGCACCGAGGAGAAGGCAACGAAGGAATCCGGCGGAGGTAAAGGAAAGGAAAAGGGAAGAAAAGAAAAGAAAAGAAAAGAGGAGAAGAAAAAAAAAAAGGACATTATGATAATACCGGGATATTATCCCCCACGTTCGTCGTCCGTCATGGCGGATATTTCATCCAGTCCCTCACCTCGCCCCACAAAAGTACCGTAGACAAAGGCACTTCTTCCACCCACTCGCTCACTCGCTATGTGATGGCATTTCGGAAATCTCACGCGGACATTCGAGCAGTACGGTATAGGGCGCTCGTGTCTTAAAAGAAAAGCAAAGAAGGGAAGGGAGGGGAAAGGAAGGAAAAAGATGAAGCCACCACTTTTCCATTCATTCATCCGAACTTCAATGCCGCCTCACAATATATTTGAGAATAGCGTACCGGTAGTAGCAATAATTACTTGCTCGTGTCTCCGAGCCAAGAACTGGGAACCTGTCCGCCATTCCTGGAAGCCTATACGGGTTATCATATCCGTCATAGTTATCCAAAAAAAAAGGGTCCCAAGAGCACAGCACTCGTAGGGCGGCTTACACCCCACACGCCCGGGGAATTTTGAGAGTCGTGCATTCTTTCGCTTGAACGATACCTTATCATAATATTACCGTAGCGTGTCGCGTTGAACCTAGCTTTGAACTACCCCACCATCTCACCTGCCACCCCGCACCCACAACCACCACCTGGACTCGGAACCCAGCCTCATCCAAATCTCCAAAGGGAGGCTGGGCTCCGAGGGCTAGACTAACCACTGCCACTGCCTACTATGATACCGCGAGGGACGGACATCATACCTTTTTTTCTTTCTTCTTCTTTTCAGCCCGGCGACTCGAAAAAGTCCTCCGGGGCGCAAGGGGCTCGGGGAAATTTCTTCGTTTGGATGGGGGGGTTTTTCCGTCTACCGGTATGAGTGAGATGAGTGAGTAATGGCGAGGCTCATACGGAGGTTCCAAGCGGGGCGGTGGTGGGGGTAGTCCATGGTCGGGTGGATGAAGGGATGGATGGATGGATATTTCCGGGCAGGAGTGAACAAGTAGCCAGTGGAGTGGGGGGGGGGAGTGGTTGCTTACTTTGCGGGTTTTTGATGATGATATTATCATACAGCGCCCAGCTGAACCGAGGGATTAAGAGTAAGGACCCTTTGCCATTTCGCCCCCCAGAGTCAAATCCTGGCCATCTGGTTGGCCCGGAACCGGATTCGCCTCGCATCCAGAGTCTTTTCGAATAAAAAAAACTCTCTACTAGTACTGTACTGTACGGTACAGTACTCGACCGTCCATCCATCCATCCATCCATCCATCCATCCGGCCGGCCATCCTCCACCTGCGGTGTTTTGCATCAGCCGGATACGAAACACAGGTTCAGCGTGATAGGTATTGTGGAGCGAAATACAATACAATGGGGTGAATAACAGGAAATGAGGGTGAGGGTGAGAGACCATGTGGGCCGGTCGGACTGGATGACCACTTGTGTTCGCTATCTAACTTACTGCGCTGCACTGGCTGGTTGGCTGGCTGTACTGTACAGCACAGTACGGTATAGTGCCGAAGCGCTGATAAGTCGCGACCCAATCTACTCGATCATAATGCTCCCGACCCGGCAATGTAGCGTATCATACATATATGGGCTCCTTCCTGAACCCTTCCATAGTGCCCAGCGTATGATAACCTAAAGAGATACCACGGTGCCCGGGAAGGAGCGTACCGTAGACCCCAAACATTCACCCCCGTTCAGGGCCATTTCTCAACGTAAAAGGCGAAACTCGGAATCAACGGAAAAATACAGTGTGATACTCGTACAGTGCAGCGAACGGTACGGCAAGTAACATCACAATGCGATCTGGTCGAGTCGAGTCGAGTGAGAAAAAGCCGCTCCGTGAAAATCGAGCCACACGCAGATTGTGTGCCTAAGGCGAAAAGAACTCGATTCCGGTGGGGTACGGTATCTGGGGAATATATACTCGGATTGGAGAGGGCATTGTACTGTACCGTACCGTAGCTAAAGTGTGATACAGTGTGATGGTATCCGGAGCCTAGCCCGGGGAACCACAAAAAGCCTTTGTCCTATTCTGCTCAACTTTCCAAACCTGCATCCCACTCACACCCGACCCTCCCGCCCACCCATCTATATCCACACATCCATTCATTCCGCGTTCACCCCCCTCCTGGACTACGAGTGGCAGTAGCGCTCCTCCTCCACCGCCTCCACCTGCCTGCTGATTCTTGATTCCCACCTCTCCTCCTCCTCCTCCTCCTCTTCCTCCTCCTCCTCTCTCCTCCTCCTCCCCCGCCCGCCTGCTCAGCTCGTCATGACTCACGCAATATATATCACCCATCACCCACCTCTCTCCCCCATCCCCTTCACTCTCCTCCTGCTACCACTAGTGCACTTACTACATCACCTCCACCACGCGACTCCGAGCCCCACAAATGCCTATCAACCTATACATCATTCATAGCCCAACAAAATTACAGTCAAAATGTACCCATCCACCGTTATGACCGCTCAAATTCCCGACGTGAAGCCCACACTATTCGGCCTGTCGTCACCTAGATCCCCGACGAAAGGTTATACCTGTGCATTTCCCTCATGGCCTAGCAGGCCGTGCCTCGACCGGCGTATGCCGTGGGAAGACGGCGACGATGACGATGACGAAGAATCGCATGAGTGCGTTGGGAGGAAGGACAGGAGATGTGCTTGCCCTACCGCCACCGCCACCGCGGCGCCAGTGTCGTCGCCGACAGAGAGATGGGATGGAAGATCGGTTTCCAGCACTTGTACATCTTCAACTTCATCCACTTCTACCTCAACACACGTAACGGAGGGAAAAGTAGAAGCGCTAATCAACGGCTTCGAGAAATTGCCCCTCCAACCCCGCTCCCCGAAGGCCCCCTCCAGACCAGCGAGGTCGTTGTTGTCGTTAGCGATCCTAGGAAAGGCGGGGGGGGATATGTGATGGAGCCGCATGGCATCATACCTCACACCTTACCTGTCACTTTTTTCTTTTTCCCTTTACTTTTCTCTCCCTATCCTTTTTCGTCTTGTCCTTTTTCCGGGACCGAGGAGGGGGGGGAAATAGGATACTCAGTACCGGTGCAATAGAGTGGGGGGGTTGGCTTGGTATTTATGGTGGGGGATCCCGGAGAGGTTTCTCCGAGTCCGGAATTAAGTGAGGGGAATTTACTCGTACCATCGCCTGATATTATCGAGTGTAATTTGCCGCACGAGCACCGTGCCCTGTGAGTGATATCCCATTTCCTCTACAAGTACTTGTTTTGTTTTTTTGCCCCTCCTCTTTTACCCCTCCCTCCCTCCGTTCCCCCCTCTCAGGGGTTCGCCGGGACGTGGATTGCGGGAGTTTTCCGTTCGCTCGACAATTGCCTCGGCCGGAATGGTCTTGCTGATCTGATTGCTGTGAAGTGTCAGATTGATTGAATAATTACCGGTCGGTCGGTGTTTCCCTTGGATGATGCTCGAGTGTCTCCGCAGCGCTGTACCGTACCATACCTCCGCACCACACCCCGCTGCCGATATGATAGCATACTTTTAATTACGGCACACTGTACCACAACCCCATGAGGCGAACCCCACCCCCTCTTCTCCACCCCCACCTCCACCCTTGCACAACACCCACAGTTCGAGTCCTGGAGCGGTGGTAGCACAGTACGTGCAACAACCCCACAACCAACACCCAACCACTCCGCCAAGAAATGTGCCTGAATACCTCTCCACCGCATCCCCCTCCCTCATCCATCCATTCACATCCGCTCTCGCCATCTGTAGCTAGCGCGGGGCCTAGCCGATTACACCACCGCGTGTTTGCCCCAACCACTTGACTTGCGAAAGTACTGTCGCCGTCGATTATCCAACACGATATGATATCCAGTCTCATTGCCAACCCACGGATCCGAAATTGCACGGATAGTTTTGTGGGGGTGCACGACGGAGCATCCGACGGACGGAAGGACTTGGTCGCTACTCGTACTGTAGGGTTACCGGCCGGTATGTGATGTGATGTGACCAGATGCGATGGATGGGTGGATACGGGAGCAGAAGGGAAGGAAGGTGCTCGTAAAAGCTTGAAGCGAAGCGAGGGTGCACGGATGAGATGGTGGGGACGTGCTCTGCATGATGTTTTCCTTTCGAATCGATTTGTTATTGCTGGGAGAAGATGGCGTACCGTAGCGTGAATTTTGGATTACACGGGTAGACATACCATACAGTGGCATACCCTAGATGGATTTCCATTCTAGCGTTCTGTAATTAGTACCTGTACTTTTTAGTTAGTCTGTCGTGAGCGTCGATGGTACAATAGAGACGAGGATGAAGAAGAAAAATATTTGTCATTTCCAAAGAGCCACGTTTGCGATAGAGTTTATTATCAGAGAAGTTAGACATATAACTACGGTTCATTGTTCCACCATAGCGCACTGTGCTGTGCTGTACTCGAGTACTGTACTCCATCGTGAGCCTACAGTGCCGTACGGTACCATATCTCGCCATATCCTCCCTCCCTCATACTCGAGTACCGGTATCTTGTATCCGGCGATAGGTATCTTGAAAATACGACTTGTGTCACATAACCGCTCAAATTACCGTACCACAAAAAAAAAGAAGAAAAACAAAACAAAACAACGGCTGTTTCCCCAGTTTCAGATACTTCATGCCGGATACGAGTACTCGAGTACATGTACAGCACTGGTAAGTTACAAAACACCGGCACTGAGCTGTAGCGAGTGAGCGAGCGAGGTTTAGTCTTAGGGCGCGGTGCGCCCTGCGGCACAGTCCTGATCGTCGAGATAGGATAGGAACCAACAAGAGTAACAACAGAGACATTTTGAGAAAAATAGAAAAAAGTAATTGTGGTACAAGTATGAAGCCACGAGTCTACAAGTACGAGTACTGCACTGCACGTCGGCCGGGGGGGGGGGGGGCATGCGGGTGGGCCGGATGGCAAGGAAGAGGGGGGGAAAGGAAGAGGGGGAAAAGGAGGAGGGGGAGGGGCGAATGATCCACCGTACCGTAGAGAACGTATGAATGGATGGAGGGATGATGGAGGGGGGCGAGCGGGAGGGCATGTTTCAGGAGGAAGGCACAAAGTAATACCGTACCGGTATGGACGGATTACAGTACCTAAAGTGAGACTACTCTCAGTGAGAGTTTGTGACTCCGGGGGGGCCTTGGGCATTGCTTTTTTGGAAGTGGATAAGGGGCTACCGGCATTGTGAGGCCTGCGCTATTGCTGGGGCGGTTGGAGAGATGCTTCCCATGCTCGCCTATCAGATATGGGTCTCTTTTTCACTCTCTATCCCTCTCGCCGAAATCACGAGCGGGTTTCCCGAGTTGTAAAACTCATGGCAGAAAAAGGGCCATACGCTATGTATCATGCTGTGCGACTGCCACTCCCTGGCCTCAACCCCAGCAATATACAGATTACTATTCGGCAGTGAAAGGGAGGAGCAAAATACCGTTTCGTACCGTATTTCACGATGCAATTCTTTCTTCTTTCCCTCTCCCTCGACCACGGGGGGGGAGAGCAGGGTCCGCCCCGCAAAAAATGAAGCCGAGCCCAATCGCAAGGTTGAAAACCGTTCCACCCGGCCCGGGATTTCACGAAGGAACTCGTCTGAGCTCCGCCGCACCGTAGATTATGACAGGCCATCTTATGGCGAGCGATCAAACATTCGGCAAACCTGTGGCGCCCGTGTGCAAGAAGCAAGACAGTTCGCCCAGCGTCACCACTACCGTACCGGTAATTGCGAATCTGGGATGGCGCTTTCGCAGAGACATCTGGCTCACTGTATCATGCTCCCCCCCCCCCCCCATTCGGACCTTTCTACGACCGTACTGGTACAAGCCTTGTTACTCTTGCGCGAGTACTCGTTCTGCACTTTAGTCAGCCGGCGCTCACAACAACAATGAGGGGAAGGAATCACAAAAGAAGAACAAAGCACCCATATTATGATACCGGTAGCTGTTACGGCCCCGAGCCCAGCCTGCTGGGGTCTGAATGGCTGGATTATTAGCCTTCGCTAATCTTTATATCTTTTAATCATTCCATACCGATACCTTGTTTGCTTTTATGTTGCCCAGGTACTGTATGAGTACTCGAGTACTCGTACCGTACGGTATGTCTCGGCAACCCCGCACCCCTTTGATCTGCCGGCGTAAAAAGCGATAAAGGACATTGCCATGAAAAAGACAGTAAACGGGATTTGTCCCTTGCGGGATCCCCCGGAGAATGATGATTGTGATGCTCTATCTGGAATTGGGGGGCACCGATGTCATACGGCATGGTAGGGACTAATCCGAATACCGGTACGAGAGCGGATCTAGTGTAGAAAAAGTTTGCGGTGAAGAAATTCAGAGCTAGGTTTTGGGCGGCGCCAAACAAAAGGGCTGGCTCACAGTTGTCATAGCGGTGAGACATGTTTTCGCCAAGATTTCTTCTCGACCTCACTGCATCTCTCGAGAGGTTTAGTCTAGAGGACATCAGGATTCGCGCAACTTGTTCTCCCCCGACGCATTAAGGGTACACCTGAGATGACTGGGGTCTCCTTCTGTTATGTTATTAAATTGATTGTTAGACCAGCCAGTGCAGCTTAAGCAAGCGAGGGAAGGTCGATAAGTTAAGATAATGGAATCGATAGCCCACTTAGCAATTAGATGCGAAGTGCGGTGGGCCATCTACTTTTCGTTTTCATTCATACTGTATGTAACCTATCACGGAGGTGGAGGCTGGGGGGGGGGGTTAAAAAATAAAAAAAAAAGACTCCCAGCCCTTCGTTCCATACAATTTTGTTTGGTTGTCAACCATGCGCGGGGGGACAACAGCCGAGGGTGAGGGTCTCGAGAGGTTTGTTCAACTGTCCGAAAAATAGATAATGCGAATGGGTGTTAATCGGTTGAAGGGTTGGCTGGAGGGTGCCAGGGTGTTCGATGGAGGAGGAAGGCGATGAAGGAGGGATGAATTGAATGCCTGGTTGGGCTTACCGTTTCTCATCGTCTCCCCCATTCGTTGTATAATAACCTTACCCTACTCAAGGTACGAGTACTCATGCAGTCTTCCCTATTCGACGAAGATTCGTACAGAGTTGGTCTTGGTGGGATCAAGTGACCTCAGGGGCACCCGCAACCAAATTCCGCACCGCCCGTTCAAAACCGTGTCCAGTTACGACACCACGTCTCCCGACGGTAGGAAAAGAGAAAGAAAAAAGAAAAAAATCCTAGAAATACCCAGCTCTCCTATATTGATCGCACGGTTTCTCGGTTTTGGCGAAGGAGTGGGCGTTGGGGTTCATGATACCGTGCTGCGCGAGAGCGAGTTATGGAAGGGCTCTCTCCACTATCCGGCGATGAAAAACGTGGGAGTACTGATTCTTCGAGGGGTTCTTTTTGCACGGAAATTCGGTGGAATACAGAAAATGGGGGCCAAGAAAACAAACCGAGCCATGGCGGTGAAACATTTTCGAGACATGTATGCGATACGGTGCAAGTACGTACTCGCATACTTGTACCGGTATGTATGGTACGCACGGTACGGGTGTTATCACTACGAGTATACCCGGTACTGGCTCGATAGAAGCTTAGATTGAGGAGCACACCCGGTGTCACGAGTGTGGCTTCAGAAGCTGGTACTGTACGAGTACTGTGCTCGAGTACTCGAGTACTGCCGTATCCGAATTGGACTGGGGTGCTGTACGGGTAACTGCACAACCGCTAGGTCGACCGCCGAGCAAGTAATGCGTCCGCTGGCGACCGTGTTATGGCGGGAAGCCAGGCAGGCAGGCGAGAAGCAGGAGGCAGGAAGCAGGATTCCCTTACAACTCCTGAGCGACATTGCTATAGCCCGTTATTTACCGTATTACGGTAGAAGGATTTATCATGTCATGTGCAGGTATGGTGGGATGCCGGTATGTGGGCAGAGATTTGGTACCTGGAAGTGGCATTATGGCTGGGAGAATTCTGGATTCGGTGCCTGAGTTCCCTCATCTCGAGGATATCCCCTTGTCACTCGGGAGTACCTACCTCCCTATGCACTAAGAAAGCAAGGAACCAAAATCGCGAAAGCAGGCCACAGAAGAGGATTACGGTACGTATGATACGCGTACTCGAGTACCGTATAATATTGGGCTCGAACCCTGCGAGTCAGCCCAACGACATCACCGCATTCACCGAAATAACCCTCCTTCGCATTTTTCATCCAACCCCGTCAACTTTGCCCTTTAAGCGCTGGGGGGCTATGAGCTACTCTACGATTGGAACGGGCCGGGGTGAATTTGACAAGACTGCCAGGGGGCCCGGTCGGAAGTCCTGTTAAAAAGGAAAGGAATTGTCCGGGCCGGACTAGTAGCGGGGGTAAAAGGAAAAAAAAAAATCCCACTCGTGGGGAGCAAGGGTGAGAGGGCGAATGAAAAAAAAAAAAAGGGAGATGATATCGATATCCTGTCGCTAAAGCAAGATTGATCTGGAGTACAGCGCAAGGCAATGCGGGCATCCAGAAAAAGGAAAAAAAGAAAGGAAAAATGAAAAAAGAGGGAGCGCGCAGGTTACAGGTGGTACCGTATCAGACTTTGCGTGAAATGTTGGGGATAAAAAGGATTACCGGTAGGGAAGAAAGGAATGGGGGGCAAGGCCAGGCATATCCGCCGTATCTACCCTACTACCACAGGAGAGCGAGTGGCCGAGCGAGCGAGTGAGTGGTGAGAATCCAGAAAGAGAGAAAGGCAAAGTTGGGGCCTGAGAAGAAGGATAAAAAAGATCTCTTTTCTCGTTGCGGTGTTGTACGAGTAAAGCAACCCTTGCTCCCCGCCGTGTTGCGCAGTAGCGGCCGCCTTCCATCTACACTCGCACGTGCATGCATCCAATCCTAGCCCGCCCTCACAAAATCTCACCAGGCCACTCTCGAGTTTTAATTGTGATAGTCCGGCGGCAGCGACGACCAATAGCTTCCACTTCCCTTTTTGATAGCCTGTGGGTATTCTTTGGCATGAGTTTTTTCTTCTTTCTATCCCCTCCTACCGCGTCGGGAGCGGAAACAGTCCCTGTCAACCATCCATCACCCGGTATCAGTGAAAAGATTCGGGTGCTTTCCTATCTGTATGATTCTTTACCGATGGGGGTACATTCTAGGGGGGTGGCGATGGGCATGGGCCACTCAAACGCGAGGGACATGGCCCTCGATTTTGGGCGCTAGGCGCCTTGGACCCTTACTCGAGTACAGGTAAATGCCTGCGTGGGGTGCTGTTGTGCTAGTATGGGTCCTACCTGTGCTGGTATTCGAGTATCGTGCTGTACGAGTACCAGTATATTGTTATCTAGGTCCTGGGACGGCGGCATGACGAAAAGTAATTGTTCGGTGGAGGAAGTTGTGAAAATGGCTGACGTGAACTGAAGAATTGGGGGTCAGGAGAGAAACTGTACTCGAGTACTGACTGGGATATCGAATGGGTTAGGAGGGGGAAGCGCAGGATGCACGGATGGCAGATGGCTGCATGTTAGAAGATGGATCTTGTACTGCGATTGGGCGAATACTACTTGTGGCCTCAGGGGTCTCATCCGATCGGTGAAAACGGCAATAATCTTCGGATGGTCTAAAGTTTCTATTCCCGTGAACTTCTGTGCAATGACAATGCGAGAAGGGCATCTTCGCTAAAATCACTTGTTCTTGCTCATCCCGACTCCTCTAAAAACACGCTTTGTCTTTTTTAGGACTTAATTACACTAGCTTTCTTAGTTTCTATCCATAAGACGAATTGGTTCTCTCAAACCACGGTTGGAGGCGGCGGCGACCTAAGTCATTGGTGCACTACCCGGTATCTCGGCTAGTTAACTAACATGAAGGCGACTCTACTCGAGTATGCCTCCCCTTGGAGCAATACGGTCATAGTCCTGTTACTGCAGGGGCAGGGAGGTAATTGTTCTTTCTATTCGGGTTGTACGGGTATCGAAGCATATTGTACTAGTACTCGAGTACACCAGTTCCGACTCCCTTTTACCTTGAACCCACACCGAAATTGAGCATTTTGTGGTTGAGCAGTTTTAACGCCCCGCCTACCGACACAAAATATCTATTAAATGTTCCTTTCTATGTTGTTATACCATATCTCTCTCCCCTCTACCGACTCCGCCTTCAACATCCGCCTTACATCCTATGCTATTCGCTCGCTCACCTTTCCCTCACCCTTTCCTCACCCCCCTCACCCCCCCTCAACCCCGTTCGATCTCCCTTTTTCCCTTTTTTTCCTTTTTCCCTTGATGTCTTAAGCGGTCTTTTTTTCTTCTTTTCTTTCCCCTTCCCCTACGAGTACTCGAGTACTCGCACCGCTCACCATAATCCGCATCGATACATCCATACCCGCCGCCCTCTGCACTACCCTGGGGAACCGGCCGTCTGGGTGGACACACACACATACTATACTAGTATACAGTACATACACACACACACAACAGCGCACATTAGTCCTTACTCAGGACGTGTGCAGTAGTTGTCTGTGAGAGGAGTGCATAACGGCCCACTGATCTTCCCTCCCACCACCCCCCCACCTGTATTGCGTCTACAAAAGTAGCCTGGCCCCTCCCACCCCCCACCCCCCTCGAACCCTTCTTTCAACGTGAATCTCCTCGAAGGCAGCCCACACCTGAATTGTTCCCAACATGTCTATCCCCATGAATTCTGGATTACGTTCGCACTCTACGAGTTCTGGGAAATCGGTAGTCATGCCCTCACCTATACCAATTAGAGGCATGGAGGGCATGAGGACGGGATCCGGGCTTCAGCCCTGTGCTGCAACGCCAACATTCGTACTGTTTGCCCAAGGCACTTCGATACTGTGTCTGCTATACGACTCACTGGCGCTGGAGAGAAGGTTTGAAGGACATGTGGAAGATATTACATTGATGGTTGCCGACAATACCAGTGAAGACGGTGTGGGGAGGATAGTCAGTGTGGACGCTTCGAAGCAGGCGATTGTTTGGGATTCGCATACGGGTGATGAACTCGCTCGGTACAATGCATTTGAAGAGATCAAGGTGGCAGCGTGGATGAAAAATGGGAATTTAGCATTCGGTGGGTTCAGCTCTTGTTGCAGCAGTGGGGGATTATTACAAAGGGAATCCCTTGGGTAACCTGGAATGCACACTGACCGTTCCTGCATTATAATTGAATTCTAGGCGACTCCATGGGAAACGTAATATTATTTGACCCACTGACTTCGGAATCAATATCTGCCAGAACAATATATGATCCCTTGTGTTCTATAGCGCCTGGCGCGGATTGCAAGACCTTTGCCTTAGGGTATGCTATGTTTTCTCGTTTTATTTTTTATCGGTTTATCCATTACCCCGAGGATTTACCTGTCTTCTTTTCTTCCCCTGAAGAACCATTCTGACAGCGCTATCTGCAGGTACACCAATGGCTCTGTGCTGATCGCTGCCTTATCCCCTTCGTTTATTATCCTGCACACTCTCACCACCACTTCGCTGCAGCCTTCACCCATCGCTTCTCTAGCATGGCATGCATCTTCATCTCGCCAAAAGTCTGACATGCTTGCGACACAGACGAGGGATGGGGATCTTAGAGTTTGGAGTGTGCCAAAGTCATTGGATGCTGAGGAGGGCGTGCGAGTGGTCCGCATTCTGAAAAAGCCCGATAGTAATAGGAAAGGTGATAATTGGATGGGCTGGTCGCGTAACGGCAGAATCGTGCAATATTCGGAAGGGTAAGCAATACAACCAGGAAACTCTTTTAAATTAAAATCATTCCTAAAATAGACGTGTGGGCTCGGTGAAATAGAAAGAGGAGGGGAAGAAAAAAGGAGTGACCCCCACTGCAAGCGCTATAGGCTAACGGATATTTTTGTGATAGCGAAACAACAATCTGGGATGTTCGGACTAAAAAAGTTACCTGGGAGAGAGTAGGGACTTTGGATAATGTCTGCGGAATCGCAGTTTTTGGACCAAAGGGTATGCTTTTCACGTTGGGGAAGGATGACACCGTTCAGCAGTTTACACTGTATCCGCCTACTCTTTTGGCAAATGTTCAACATATTCCTAGCGTTCCTCCTCCTTCACCTCCAGTATCAATCGAGGAGAAGAAGGTCATTGGAGAGGAGCAATATGAAGGGGCATTCCAACGCCCATCTAGTAGCGAGGAAGATGAATACCTCAGGGCTACAATGTCGCCACTTGGGCGCATAGCTCACGAGCTGGAACAGTTGGAGAAAATGGAGGAAGAGGCTGGGCTTGGGATCATAAATCTTTCGAGTGTTCCGCCACTGCGACCGCGAACTGGTTCAGTCGGCAGGCGATCTTCGGGCGGAAGCGCTAGTAGGGGTCACCAACATAACGTTTCTATAACATCATCAAAGGACGCTCAGCGTTCGAGTGGCGATCAGAGCGAGTTCTCGCAAGCAACCGCGGTCTCTACTGGTCGTAAGAACTCATTCGGCTCCTCAGGGGCGCCCGCGCCGTCTCCTTCGCGCCTCCCCCATCCCCTTCGTCAGGAAATCCACCAAAGCCCAGATGAGGCGAAGACGGCCACCCCATCCCGAGATATTGATTTATTTGCCGGTTTGAGGGCGAGGCTCGCGTCTGTCACGTATCAAAGCCCACGGATTGGATCGCCGAAAAGTAACATGTCAGAAGATGACCACCGCAAGGAGATGCTTTTTTGCATCTTTGGGTGGAAGGGCGATATCGAGCATTTGATCCAGGACCAGCGTGCGTTTCATCCCATGTTTCCCCAGTTTACCTTGATGGGCGCGCTGACTTGAAACACGTAGTCGATTCTGTTGATGCCCGAAGCATGGGTGCCGTAATCCTGCGTATGTGGCTGGGTGATCTGGATCAGAATTCGCTATCGGTCTTACTAGGCGCTGATTTTTTCGTTCCCGGAGACTGGGTGTTCCTTGCTTTAAGCGCTATGGGTTAGTTTTTTCTTCTTTCACTGCCCCTTCAACCTAGAATTTGCACTCTTTGCTAACGTAATAATATACAGACGGACAAAAGTCTTGGAACCATGTTGTACGAGCATTCGTGATGCGTCTGCTACAGAAAGGAGAACTGCATACCGCTGTTTTATGTCTGCTAGCCCTTGGAGACAAGAACGATGCGGTAGAGGTTTACGTCTCCCATAAGAAATACATGTGAGCGCACTTGAGCACACGTGGTAGGGCCAATATTGATGGTTGATTATAGGGAAGCGGTCTTATTGGCATCGTTACTCTGGAAGAAGGATTGGAAGAAACAATCTCAGCTTGTGAGGAAGTGGGGTGATCACTGCGCCGAGAATGCCGAGGGCGCACTTGCTGCTAGATGGTCTGCCTGTCAAAGTTAACCTCTTCATGAAGTATCACTCTGACTTATAAATCACAGTTTCGCCTGCGCTGGAACTGAAGCGCCACCTACTGAGCGACCGGCTCCGCTTCCAACTCGCACGCACTCTCGCTCAAGGTCAGAGACTGAGTCAATTCAGAATTTTGTTCGTGGTCTGCCGATCAGTGCTCCTACTAATCCCCGGACAACCTTGAGAATGACCCCAAGGGATTTTTCTCTGAAGCTTATCACTTCATTCAAACCTACTTCCCCTGATCATACACCACTCGCTTCCACCACCTCGCCCGTGGAGGGGGGCAAGATCGCTTCGGTTAGCCGCTTCTTCGGTTGGGTGGGCGACAGGAATGGAGCGAAAACCCCAATTTCTGCCGGTGGAACTCCGATCGCCATGTCAGCCGTATCACCCGGAGCTGACACCGCACCTTGGAACGCTAGGCGTGACCCATTCGCTTCAATGTCCGCGAAGACTGCGATCCCACCTTCGTCTAAGCTCGCGCCAGTTACTGAGATGTCTCCTGATGAGGGGACATCTAAGCAGCTTCAACAGCTGTCAATCGAGAAACTCGCGCCTCCTCAGCCGGGGGAGAAGGAGATGAAGATCTCGTCCCCTATCGAGGCACGTAACTCTGATGGATTCGCTGAGAGCTTGGGACCCGTCACCCTCGGCGATTATCCCAACCGGTCTGGCAATAATACACCCACGAATTCATCAAGAGTTGCTAGCCCCGTTGTCATGCTTGGCCAAATTCAAAGGACGCAGACCCCAGCATCCCGAAGAGCCAGTCCTCCAATGGCGCCAGCTCCAATGCCATTACCATCGCCAGGGCCTCCTACACCCCCATTAAATCAAACCCCAACGAGCCCTCTTCCAGCCCCGCCTCCTGAGGCTTTCAACAATAATGGCGGGGGGCTCGCCGGTTCTTCGCCGAGGAAGCCCGTAGGCCTGCAGATCCAGTGGCCTCCCATGGACGACGTTATTCGGCATGCAAGGCCGTCTGTGCCGTCAACCAAACATAGGCGCACTGGTTCCCGTACTACACCATCCCTTCCACCTCTTACAGAAAAATCAGCTAGCCGCCCGCAACCGCAGACTGATGATATTGATGGCCTACCGGATGTCTTGGGCACTACGAACCACAAGCGACTGGCTTCGCAGCGCGCTTCCCCGCCCGGAACGATCAGGCGCAGAGCAGAGTCCCCCGATGCTCGTGGTTGGGGATCAGCAAGGCATAGGGGGGAGGGATCACAGAATGGTAGGGGGAGACATGAGAGTCGGGAGAAAGTTAATCATCAACGTTCCCCTTCTAGCCCGCTACCGATGTCGCCACAAGCTAGGCTGTACAGAGAGGATATTGGGGAGGACCTTCACGAAGAGATGTTTGAGGATGAGAGGTACTATACTACTACTAATCAACATGACACAGATCGGGCAACGAGTCGGGGCACCAGGCGTGATGCAAGCACTTCCAGGTCGAGAATGAGAAGCCGAGACGCGAGAAGACAAGAATCAAATATGGTTAGGTCTCCTTCCGCTTCGGCAATAGTGCCACTTCGAGAACATCTCTATCACGACGAAGCAGCAGTGGTAGACGACTTTGAAGACGAGAGATACTATACAGCTGTGCCACGCAACAAGTCGAGAGGCCGTGGCCGATCGCATTCCCGAAACCCCACCGCTTCTGCCCTCAGATCACCGTCTAGTCCATTACCAATGTCGCCTGGGGCTCAGATGTATGCTCAAATGGCCGATGAGGCTGAAGCAGAAGAGCGCCAGACTAGGCGTAACATCCGTCGCACTCTCCGTGAGGAGTCCCGAAACCGTGGCGTTGGAGGTCTTCGTAGATCTAGATCTGAGCGAACACTTCGCCAGTGGAGTGATCAACTTGAGCGAGCGGGAAGTGTGGCCCGGCGGCCATCCTTCTCAGGTTTGCCTTCTCGAGCTATGTCAATTCGTGGAGCAGGCCTGCCGGCTACTCCCCGTGCCTGGAAGAACGAACTCGGCGGTTCCCGCCCCGGGTCTCGCACTAATTCACCTAACCCAGGGGCCAGAGGCCGCTCTCCCGCATTGACAGGTACAGCTAACCCAAGCCCGCGCATTGGTACCCCAGGTTCTGGTCGCACCATGTCACCCGCACCCCTATCCGGTGGCCTAACAATAACTCTCGAAGCAGCCCGAGCAAACTCCCCTGCTCCTCGAGCGTACACCCCCGGGTCCGGCAGAACCCACTCTCCGGCCCCCGGCAGTGGTGGAAGCAATCACTCCCGGGGACGCTCCGACTCCCGAGTTCAGCCATCTCTCGGCCTCCCAACGCAACCCGGAGTCATGAAGATGCAGAACTACTATTATCCCGGCATTGATCAGCCGGTGGCAGATTATGAGCGGGTTTCTTCCCCCCGCGGTCCCATCCCGGAGGTCCCACCTCTCCCAAACCCGTCGCACATTCGTAAACCCTCTGGCTCCCAGCCTACGGGTTTCAAGCCGCTAATCCCTCACCTCCGCCCCCAGCCACCCCCCGATTCCCCACCGCCACTTCCCAAAGACCTCCCCGTCCACCCTGCCCTACAGGCACACCTCGATATCTCTGCTACAGGTGGACGTGGGGAGCATCCCACCAGACTCCGTGGCTTCGACAGTGTACAACGGGCGGACATGAGCCCTATCGACGACAGCGGGGAAGGAGAGGCCAACATAGTGGTCGGGATCGCGGGTGATGCTTTTCAATTGGGTTCGCCGAGTAGCCTGCACGGTTACAACCATCGGAGCCATCAGAGCTCGCGTTCACGCTCACATTCACGGCATCCGACACCGGTTTCTACACCTGAGATGAAGCAGTTGAGGGGCCATCGCGCGAACCCGAGCTTGGGGAGTATTGGGAGTGTTGGGAGCGCGGGAAGCAGTAGTGACCGAGCTACAGTTTCGTCGACTGAGGCTCTTGGGAGTTTGAACCAGTTTTAAGTTTTTTTTCAATTTTTCAATTTTTTTTTTCACTTCTTGTTGGTTTTTAGTTGATTTTTGTTTCATTCCTCGTTTGGTTTTTGATTTTATCTGGATGGTGTTTTTGGGCGGATCGGATGGATGGAACTGGGTGGATAAGACTGGGTTGGGGGTGTGGGTAGTTTGTGGTAGATAATTACTCCTTTTGCTTTTCTTCTCTTCTTCTGGGCTTGGGATTCGGCAAACTGTGGAGCCGCTGTTAATACTAAGTGATGGGCCATACGTTCTAGGATCTCTGTATCCTTTTCTTCTTCTTTACTTTTTTTGTTACATATCATTTGTCTTGGAGCATATGGAATTTATTCTGGTTGAAACTGATGCCGTCACCCTCCGGTTGAAGGATTGTGCTGTGGTCTCAAGATATCTCTTCCTACCGGCGAAAACCTCCTCCCTTAATTCACACCAAAGGTGGGCATTTTCAGCAATGATAACAAATCTCATCCTTGCCATGTTGCAAAAAAAAAAGGAAAAAAAGGGGAGTGGGGTTCACTAGAGCTTTTAGAGCCAGCTAGATATTCACATTCATATGCGATAATCTCTGTTAGTGCCTATGCTTCAATACCAGGTAAATCACAGTAGGCAGAAAGTACCGACCGGTACTGTACTTCTGATTTTAAATGAGTTTCCCATACGAAAGGTACATTGTAGTAGGATCCAATCTAGGCCCTAAGCTCACAGCCCCCCTAATGGAGTGGGAAAATTCGCCTAACTTCTGCCCATATTACTTCCAAGAGAGTTGGGAGTATTCGAAATCAGACATCTTTGGTATAAAATTGGGGGTGGGACCCACAGATCCCCCCCACCAAGATTGTACATTGCCGGAGTGCATCATACTTACCAAACCGCTACAAATCCGGATAGACAAACACACCGGCCACAGGGTTTGTGCCCTTCCGGGGCAACTTATCACACATTCTGTGCTAAGTAAGTAGCGAGTCATGAAATTGAAGTATGTGCACTTCTGGACACTTGGCGCTCTTGTGGGCCGACGAATAGCGATATATCTCCTCCGGTCTTATGAGAAGAGGAAGTCCCAACTGTTTTCTATTCTGGATGTCACCGCCGTGTACCTTCTGGCGCTGATTGGGATAATATGAGGGACTGTATGATAATTTGTGGATAGGTATTGGATAAGGGGCCATACGATACCCGTCGTCGTTGGGCCACTTGGGCCGCCGGAATGTTTGACCGAGTGATGGTGCGTGATTTCGATATGTTTGCTCAGATGTGGGTTATATGATTGGGGTGTGGCGGAATTTAACCCAGCTACTGGGTTGGAAGAAGTTTATTCAGATTTATTTGTGGTATTGCGATAGGATATTATGAGAGTTTTACGCTCTCCTCTCCTTCGGCTGTGATTATAGTCGGTAGTTTTGCCGATGTGCCCATCATATCCGCTATGTTTGCTGAGCGTACAGGGGGGGGGGGGGGCATCACTTGGTTGCCGGCCCAGCTGAAGGTTCTCCGCGATGGTGACCGTTTCTCTTTCAAAACCTGCTCCTTGTGTTTACCGCGGGCCGAGCCTGTGAGAGATTTTTGTTCTTGAAATGGGGCACGTGAACGACCGGAAGAGACGGGTAGTGGGTGGATCTAGGCCGGTGTTCGTTTGTTAAGGGAGGCATCATATCTGCTAGGAAGTTTGTGCGTCTTTTTTGGGCAACGGGGGATGCCTCATACGCACTAGGGTCTACTGACATCTTCGGCACAGGTGTAAGGGTGGAGCTTACCTTGATAGCCTAGTACTGCGAATTTAGTAGGGTGATGCTCTTTGAAGAAACTTAGAAAAGTCTAATGATCACTTGAAACTGTTTTATTTATGAGGTGGTTTTCATCAATAGAATGGGAAAAGAGAGCACTTGAAATACAGGATACCTCCTATTGAAGAGGATGAAGAAAATTTTTGGGAAAAACCTGAGCAGTGTTAATAGTAATTGATTAATCAATTACGTGCCTATGGTAACACAGATATGGCCTCAGGGTGCTCAAGGTGCCGGGACGTGATAGAGCAGGCTTTCAGTGACCAGAATTGTGCTCTATTTGTGAAAGTAGAGCTGAAGATCTCCATAGACCTTTCAACTACCCCGAAATCTGGGTTTCCTAAAGCTGTAAAGCTTTCTAACTCTGAGGGCTCATAGAGTCTACCCCGTGAAAGACCTCCTAGGTTTCTGTGATGTTATTCTATCATACTATAGCATTTCTGACTCCCCGAACCCCCTATAGCCCCTAGATTCGTCGGCGAGACCTTATCCCGGTGCTGGAGGTTCGTTGACCAATGGTGCAGAGTATTCGGCATCGAGGTTTAAACCAATGCTGAAAACAGGCCATCCTATCATCATACCGAACAGCACCATACTCTACTCTCGGACCGTGGCTACCTTAGATATTTGATGAAACATGCATACCCTACCGCTCTGGCACCCTACTTTGTTGGATACTCCCTAGAACACGTGTTCTGTAAAGACGGACCACCATTCAAATGGGCCTATCAGGTATGAACAAGATACCCTACTGGGATGCTTAAAATAAAAATTTGAAAAAGCCATTAGCCAGAAGTGCTATCAAGCTTACCAAGGTGCTATTGCCATGACTTCGAAAGCTTAACCCCCCCCGCCTCCTCCGGAGACTCTCACTTTGTGTGGGCAATTGGAAAACCACAAATCTGGAATTCCGGCTAGCTAATGGATGAGAAGAAGAAAAAGGATAAGAATTGATCCATGTGAAAAGACCACATGCCAACACCATAATAACCATTGCTCGCTGGCTGACCTCCGCAGGTTAGCATAGGGTAGTTCCAAAGCGGCTCCAACATCAGGTCATACATGCATGCGAGGACACAGTGGGCACAGTGAGGCGTGATGCTTTCTGTGTGCGCAATGGAGCATGTCAAAACCTCCCACACACAAATTGCGCGTATCCGAGAGTGTAGGAAAGCAAAAAACAAACGTAAATAGCAGGCTAAGAGTGAGTTTATTATGGCTAATTACTATCGTTTCTTACTACGAACCAACAAATGAGACAGGCCAGATATTACAGCTACCAATTTCATACCCCATAGGTGAGAAAAAAAAAGAGAAAACAATAGAACCAAGCTCGCAAGACGGCTTTTGTAACCTCCTCTAATAATATCTCATCAGCTCCAGTCAGCCCTTATCCATCTCCCAGCACTCCCGCGCTCCTACATATAACTCAACTCGTCAGGCTCACCGATTTCCAACTCTCCCACCCCCCCGGTTTGCTCTTTTGGATTTTTCCCGAGCTTCCTCTTGTTCTTTATAGTAGTGGGTGTTGCAGACTTCTTGGGATTTCTCCTGGAGTTCGTGGTCCTGGGCGCCTTGGATGTGGTCTTGGGTGTCTTGGACGTGATATGCAGGGTTATTTTGGGATGCCTGGTCGGGACTTCAATTTCGTCGACTTCAGTGGACAGCTCGGTTCCGTAGCCGTCGTCGGGACTACTCATATAGTATTGTCTACTCGGTGTGCGAACTGTTTTTGCCTTCTTTCCGCCCTTGGTCCTGGCCTTCTTGGGGGATGCGGCCTTCTTGGGGGATCCGACCTTCTTGGGGGATCTGGCCTTCTTAGGGGATGCGGCCTTCTTGGGGGATGCGGCCTTCTTGGGGGATGCGGCCTTCTTAGGGGATGCGGCCTTCTTGGGGGATGCGGCCTTCTTAGGGGTTGCGGCCTTCTTGGGGGTTGCGGCCTTCTTGGGGGATCCGCCCTTCTTGGCGGCGGGTCGCTTAGAAGGAGATCCCCCCGTTGTCTTTGCACGTTTCCTCGGAGATTCGGTTTCTAGCTCCCGGGGGCGTTTGGTGAGTAATGTGGAGGGGCGCTGCGCAGATGAGGAATGCTTTCTCGGGGACCTTCTCAGAGCCAGCCCTTCTGGGTTCGTGACTGAATGTGCGGATTGATTGGCCTTGGCTTTGGGAGACCGCCTGGGTGGGGTTTGGTCTATGTATCCGGAGGTGCTAGATTCCCGTCCACCAGGGCGCAGATCTGAATAAACCTCCTCATCTTCGGGTTCGGAAAACTGAGTCGGCAATGAGTTACCAGAATCCTTCCCCGGTAGAGCACTCTGGGGTGTAGTGAGAGGACGAGCCAAGGGGGGGATCTTCAAAAGCCCTCTTTCTCTTATGGGGTCCATGTAGACTTTGAAAGACTTTTTAGGAGACTCTTCGGCAATTGGCGGGAGCGGGGGCAGGAGGATGCCACTGTGCATATGGACAATTTGGGGAGAAGCGCCTTCAGTCCGACTGTAGGAGGGACTACTTGAACCATCTTCCTCCTCACCCATGCCCTGTGTTTGTTTGTGACGGCTGCTGGCATACTCAGCTGCGTTGATGCCCGAAGGTCTCCGGTCACGTCTTTTCTTTTGGGGACTAAGCTTAAAGTCGGAGCTAGAATCATCCTCGACAAATTCACCTCTATCTTCAGGAAAAGCGACATATCCATCGCTGTTAATGGATTCCCTATGCTCCTGAGAATATTCAGGGCTTGTAGGATTATTCCGGCCGGCGGGCGCGCTAGCGGCCTTCCTATGTTTTTTCAGAAGCGCCAAAGTCTCATCGTCCATCTCTGTTTCTCCAGAACCGTAGGAATCGTAATCTTCGTTAATCTCCTTCTTGATTACTATCCCGCGTTTCTTGAATTTCTGAGGAAGGGTCAGTCCAGCGGGATTGATTGGTGGTACGGCGGTGGCCCGATCAGAACTTTGGCTGCTCGCGCCAGCCTGAATTTTCTCCCTAGTGACATTCTGGGAGGCGGCACCTTTTGACCTGTCTCTCCTGTATCTTAACTTGGGGACTGAGGGGGCATGAAACTCCTCTATAAAAGGCTCAGAGATTGTTCTTGGGGGCTCAGTATTGGGAGGCGGGACCGGAGGCGAACTCTGAGGACTTAGACCAGGTGATCGGGCTATTCTTTGGGCCTCTGAGTGGCCCCAGAGCTTCCTTCGAGTATCTGGAAAA